AAGTTTCAGAGCTGAGCACATTTTTATGGTCTAGTTATAAACCCTAGAAAAACAAGGTTTATAGGAAATGTTGACACAACCTTAACTAAAGTGGTGCTGGCTGACACCTATTTTCAATTTGGGGATTTCTACTGGGAAAATATAAACGCTAATTCAGCAAAGGCAGCCAACGATAATAAAAGTGTTGTAGTCTTCCTGTTCACCCCACGAAGCTCGGCTTCAGAAGATGCCAGGGCGGCGTGGAGGGGAGTTAGAATGAGGGCGCTCAGTTTGCGAGAGGCACCTGCAAATAGCTCAGCCCCCCAATTACTATAGACCTCGCCTGGGAATGCACGACCTCACCGTGAGTCACCGCTGCGCATGGCGGCCCAGGCGGAGGGGTGGCAGAATATTCCGGATCTTTACGTCAAAGGTGCCTACCATCCTCCTGCGACTCACTTCCAAAGCTACCCTTGAGCTACCTTGAGGCACGTCGGATTTTTCATAGGCCAGTAAGACCAACCTCCAAACATGCAGAGAAGCCCAAAAAGATGAAAGTTGGAGAAGAGGCAGGCCCCAGAGGTGGATGTTGAGTGATTTCGGCCTCAGGCTGGGGCCAGTAGCAGTGCCAGGGGGACCCAGGTGGGAGGGCAGCCCGAGACCCGGGGACAGAGGGCCAGTGACAGTTCCTGTTTCCCCAGTCCCGCTCCACAGCCCAGCTGAGAAGCACATGTGTTCCATATTTAGGCTTTGGGTGTTTTTTTGTTTTTTTGTTTTTTTCTTCTTCTTCTCTCTTCTGAAACAGGAGGTGGGAGAAAGGAGTGAAGTTTGACTCAGGTCCAGAGATAAAGACTGACACACACAAATGGCCCATAATAGGGGGCAAAGCGAGTTAAGCCGGAGTCAATGTTTTCAAATCCTCAGCTAAGTAGACTAAACAGCACTGGCCGAGGAGCCGGCAGGGACAGCTGCCGGCCAGGCGCCCCCAGCTAGGAGACGGGCAGCCTGCGAAGCCCCCCGGGTCCCCCTTTGTCATCTGTACAATGGGGGCCCGCATCCGCCCAGCCGTCCGGACAGTGCAGAGAGTAAGGCCGGTCCCCGGTCGGGCTCTGCAAAGCTGCAAGGCGAAGGGGGAGCGTTGCTTGGTGTTGCTTTATTCCTACTCTGGAAAACTACATTCAGAAAATAGAAGTGTTTTCAATCGAGGGAGCAATCCATCAGGATAAAGGAGAGAAAACCTCTCCCTGGCATATTTGTAATTGCTTTTTGTTCATCCTGGGGCTGATCTGGGGCTGCGTCCGCTGCCGATGACTTCGCTTTCCTGTTCGGTCTAAGACTCTACTAACGAGGCCATTTGGGTTAATGCCCCAATTACCATCACATATTTCTAGCCTTGCCCAGCTCACAAGGGGCCACTCACTTACATATCTTCATGGGCACAAAGTATTTTTTCGGATGATTATTTTTTTCCTCCTCAGCTTCTAAGCCTATTGGCAGAATTTTCCCAGAGTGTTTTCAAAAGCTTTCACAAGATATCCTCATAACATTGGCAAAAAGAAAAAAAAAAATAGGAAGCATACTTCAATGCTTAACTTCTGCAGGCCCTGATTTGTTTTTTTCAGGTTGAAAAGGAAGACTGAGTTTCTGGATGTACCTGTCAAGACTAAATGATTGTTCATTTCCTGTGAATTGGAAATCACGTAATAGCATGCAGCTGGGGAGCTAGCCTGGGTTTCTTGCTTCTTCCTCTTCCAGAAGCGGGGTCCATTACCAGCTGGGAAGTATTACTGTACGAATGTGCTGAAAAACTTAAGGGAAGTGAGAAGGGGAGCATTCTGGATGTCAGCAGTTTGATGGTCTTACCTGTACCCACCAGAGAAGATTTTAACAGCAAACGTACAGAAAGATTAATTTAACTAGAAATGAGCTCAGGAGGAAAAAAAAAAAAGGATTGACAAAGCCACAAAAATCTTTCTCTAGCATTGAGCTGATTAGAATGAGCCCTGCTAAAATGATGCTTGCTAGTGATGGGGTGAGTTGGAGAGAAACCATTTAAGATAATAAAATGTTTTCACCCAAGAGAAAAGGATTACTACGAATCAACATAGTCATGTCTTGCTAATGAAGTTGTTACCTGGAACCAAAAAAAAGAAAAAAAAAACCCACATAATTTCAATGCTGAGTTTAAAATTGGAATTCAGCAAAATGTCATCCCAGACACTTACTTGAAATGCACGCCTATATCTTTTTGTATAATAAAGTTCATTCTGTGTTTCATTGCCATTATACTACTCATGGTGATTGTGTCAGACGTTAGCTGCTGAGAGATGGAGCGGACATTTACTTCAGGTGGCTCCTATTCCAAGTCATCATAACAATTAATTAGAGAAAGAGGAGGTAGGATGGGAGCAGAATTGATGCTGGGAAGGTAGCTTCTCCTGGGAAGGTAAGGAAAAGAAGGAGAGGCCAGGGCCAAGCAAAGTCACTGCCAGTGGAATGTTACAACATCGCTGCCCATTGCACCCAGACGTGTGCTTGGGAGAAAAGAGATCTGGGGTCTGAATGGAGTGTAGGGTTAATACAATGGCCCTGAATCACCTGGTGTGTGGTTCCCAACCCTGGCTGAGCAACAGGATCGCTAGTGGAACTTTTAAACAGAGAACCCACTGGGTCCTGTCCAGTCCTGGGCTAAAGCTTTGCATGACTTCTCTATGTTTAAGAAATGTTTGGGGGCTTCCCTGGTGGCGCAGTAGTTGAGTCCGCCTGCCGAGGCAAGGGACGCGGGTTCGTGCCCTGGTCCGGGAAGATCCCACATGCCGCGGAGCAGCTGGGCCCGTGGGCCATGGCCGCTGAGCCGGCGCGTCCGGAGCCTGTGGTCCGCAACAGGAGAGACCACAACAGTGAGAGGCCTGTGTACCGCCAAAAAAAAATGTTTGGGTGTTTGTTGTTTTGTCAGTACATAGTGAAAATTTCATTTTATTTTTTCCAGTTTTTTAAAAAATTATAGTTGATTTACAATGTTATGTTAGTTTCAGATGTTAGTTTCCTGTGTTAGTTTCGATGATTCAGTTATACATATATGTATAAAAAGAATATATCTTCTTTTTCAAGAATGCATATATGTGTATAACTGAGTCACTTTGCTGTACAGCAGAAATTAACACAACATTGTAAATCAACTATACTTCAATAAAAAATTTAAATAAAGAAGGTATATTCTTTATCACATTCTTTTACCTTATAGGTTATTGCAAAAATTGAGTAGAGTTCCCTGTGCTGCACAGTAGGTGCATCTTGGTTGTCTGTTTCATATACAGTCGTGTGTATATGTTAATGTCAGCCTGCTAATTTATCCCCCCACTCCCCGCCTTTCCCCTATGGCAATCATAGGTTTGTTTTCTATGTCTGTGGGTCTATTCTGTTCTGTAAGTAAGTTCATTTGTATCCTTTTTTTTTAGATTCCATATGATATCACTTATAAGTGGGATCTTCAAAAATGTATGTTTTTAATAAACTAAAACCTACGATTAATTCTGAGTGCTGAGTCAGGGTTGAAAACCATGGGTAGGTGGAGGCTGGAAATAAACCAGAAGGTGAGTTTGGCAGTATTGCACTTTATCTAAATCTCTCTTTCATCTTGTTTGAATCCAAGGAAGAGCTGTGTGTCCTGAAGTTTATCAGATAGACATAAGATGATAAGGATGACAATAAAATAATACCTCGCGCTGGCTCTCTGGGGACTCTTGCCCTAGCTGCCAGAGCGCTTACACATGCGTGATGTCATTTCTCTCCTCTCCTCCCCTCCCTGGATGCTGCAAAGCAGGCAGTGCAAGAATCATCACCCCATCTTACAGGAAAGAAAACAGGCCACCTCCAGCCGAATCCCCCAACAGTGCTAATGAGTGGGCTGAGTCCTCTGCTCTCAGGTGGCTTAATGCTCGCGGAGCAGAAAAGAGAATCCAGCAAACACTCAGCTCCCACATTCACTGCAAATGGAGAAGTGCTCTGTGCCTTGCTTTTACCTTAAAGAGTTGGCTGGACTTCCCTGGTGACTCAGTGGTTAAGAATCCGCCTGCCAATGCAGGGGACACGGGTTCCAGCCCTGGTCCGGGAAGATCCCACATGCCACGGAGCAACTAAGCCCGTGCGCCACGACTACTGAGCCTGCGCTCTAGAGCCCGCAAGCCACAACTACTGAAGCCCGCATGCCCAGAGCCCGTGCTCTGCAACAAGGGAAGCCACCGCAAGCACAAGCCTGTGCACCGCAATGAAGAGTAGCTCCCTCTCGCCGCAACTAGAGAAAAGCCCGCGTGCAGCAATGAAGACCCAACGCTGCCAAAAATAAATAAATAAAATTATTTTTTTAAAAAAAAAGAGTTGGCTTACAGCCAGTGTGTGTGATAGATTTTTGGCTTTCCCTTTTACACAAATCCTTTCCTTAAGTGAACACCTCATGCCTCCCAGGTCTCTTCCGTTGCTTCCTGGGGTGCAGTAGAGAAGAGACAGGAGACAGGGACACAGGAGGGACAGTAGGTAGCCTGCCCCACACCTGCCCCCCAGCTTCTTCCACATCCCGAGAAGGAGATGGTCCCCAGGTTAAGGATGGCAAAGAAGCTGAGAAGTCTTCCAGTCCTGTTTGGGTTATTTCCCTGCCACCTGTGTAAGCTCTTAGTAGCCTTGGGCTTATGGTTCAACTATTCCAATGGAAAGAAATAATGATCACAGCATTTGAGGCTGTTGATGTTTAGAGCTGGAAGTTACCCTCTTCTGAGGAAGGCTTTTCTGGGAATGGACTTGAGGATAAAGATGTTAACAAAGCATGACACTAGAATCTAAGCCTTTGCTGATACAATTTACCTAATAATCAAGTTACTTTGCAGTTTATGGTAACATAAAAAAAGAAACCTTCCTAGATAAGATTATTTTTTGAAGACGATTATGTTTTCGTGATGTTATGATAGCTACTGCCATGGCAAAAAGTGCAGTGTTAAAGTGTGATAGATAAGCAACGGCTATATTGTGCAGCACAGGGAATTATAGCCATTATCTTGTAATAACTTCTAATGGAGTACAGTCTGTAAAAATACCATATCGCTATGCTGTACACATGAAAATAATATAATATTGTAAGTCAACTATGCTTGAATTTAAAAAAGTATGATGAATCGATCTCCTCTCAGATACTAATATTCCACAGATCAATAAAACTTAACTGTGCTTACGGGTTTACTCCATTATACAAAAATATATTTATGAAAGGTATCACTCAGGTTTTTATACATGAGTTGGCTGACCATTTTATCATATCTTATCTTCTACATGTGTGAGTTTAAAAGATTGGTGGTGTTTTAATTATGTATAATCACATCTGGTTTCCCAATAACCTATTGAGAAACACTTTTGACAGTCATAAAAAGAAATTTTCTAGAGAGCTGAATATATGGAACGTAGCTAACTTTTTAAACCAGGTCTGTAGAGCTATCTTGGGGGGACAGGAAGGGCAACTTTGTTTCACCCAAGCGCCGACCCACTGGCCTATCACTGAGGTGTTATCTCTGGAAAGCTGGTCTGGGCTTAGCAAGCAAATATGCCGAGACTGACTAGTGACGCCTGCCGGGGAAGAAGCGAGATCCTGGTACCATGTTTGCAATCTCTGCTGGCGGGGAGAAAGGGAAAAATACTGAAATACGTAATGAATGCCCATTTCACTGGGAACAGAGACTGTTGAGATATGTAAGGAATTCTCCCAATGGCACAGTTTTTGCCAGAGCCGAGCCCCAGTCGATAGTCTCAAATAGTTTTAGATATAAGAGCATTATTTAAAATGCTTAATGCGTATCTGGGTGTCTAAAAGAGTAAGGATTATTCACTTTTCTCAACGCGCTACACCGTTATGTGAAATTCTGGGATTAAGTCTGTCATCGTCACGGCGGTGAATGTCAGTCAGGATCTTCCAACTATTTAAGCTGCTCACAAATAAGGCTTTTTCCGTGAATTCCATCAGCGCTCAAGAACACGTCAGCCTGGTCAGTTTCATTAACGTGTCGTTTCCATTGCACCCAAAGCGGTTGCCGTCTTTTCCACCGGCGATAATGGTGCCCATGTGTGATTGTGGCGCCCACAGGGAAGTCATAACGCCCATCATATTTCTGAATTCCATCTTACAGTGTTAGCGAGGATACTAGTCTAGTAATGTGGTTTCTTTCCTGTAACAAAGTGGTAATAATCCCTCTGGAGAAACCCTGAGCTTAAGATGATTAACGTTGCACAGAAATAACTTCCTTAGTGAATAAACGGTCCTTTCATCAGAGTGAGTTGTCTTAAATTGCAAAATTTAATTTCAGAGGGAAGAAAGCACTCCTCAGTTATATGGTAAATACTGACATATTTAGACACACATCTTTAAGCACGTTTTCTACCAAAGTTATCATTTTAGATCACCTTCATTGCGTGTTTCTTAGTCGCAGATTATCCCTCTTTTCAAATGGATGGGCACTTAGTATTATCTAGTGATTGGTCCTTGAAGACATGGGTTGACTTGGAAGGGGTTGGTGCTGGTTATTTTAGACACAGCCGGGCGCGTGAGCAGAAGCTTCTGGGAATTTGTCATTCCTTTCTCTATACTCTTCCTCCTCTTCTCTATGAGCCATCAAATCCATTTTCTGGGACCCCGATCCCCACATCGTAGTTCCATATTTCCAACCGCCATTGAAACGGGACCTTCGATCATCTTGCCACGTTCTCCAAACCAGAGAGAGCCCAACCTGAGGTCTCTTGACTCACGCCCTCCTTTTCACTGAAGGCATTCTTCATACGGGGTTTTGTGTGGTTTGTTGGGGGTTTTTTTGCTTTAAATTATGAAAGTAGTTTGCTTGAGTTACAGGAGGAAGCCGGGCGTGATTTTTCTGAATTCGTACGTTACCTTTTCTGTTTCCATGTCTCATTGGTCTTTGGGGGTCTCTGGGGACTGAATGCCTTTGTGGTCATGTTTTCAGAGGTGGTTGTATTCACCAAAAAGGAAAATTTCTCCGAACTGTATGCAGAACCTCGGGCAGAATAGATGTGGGGAATATTTGGCCTTTATTCAACCCCAGAGGGCCAGCACAGAAGGTCCCCCTGGCAAACAGCCTTCGTCTTATATGGAGATAGTCCAAGCTGGGTGAGCAGAAAGTGGTCATTTGCTTTCAGTCCAGCATTTGAGCAGAGTCTTCCTTTCGAGTCTGTGTCAAGACTGCTGGTGCCTCTTCAGATCTACCCTCCCTTCTTACCAGCAATGCGCCCGATGACAGAACTCCATTTGCTAGCCTCCCTGCAGGTGGGGAGGGCAGGGGGGCACGGAGATGGACGCCGACGTTGGGGGTGGAACTTCTTCTGACTGGTCCTCAACTCCCTCCTTTCATCCTCTGTCAGCAGATTGCTGAGCCCTTAAAACTCGTCTCAGCTCACATCCATCCCTGCAACTGTGAGGCTTCGCCCTTCCAGGGAGCAGTTTGATGAAGGTTGTTCGGAAATAGAAGGGGCGGGAAATGTGGTCGCGTTAATGCCACAGCCTATGAAACGAAAATGCAAAGATGACACTGAGGATCTTACTAATTTAAATCCGATTACAAACACATTGCGTAGGAAAAATTTAGGTATGATAAATCCAAGTGGGGAGATTCCATTTCACCATTATCTGCCTTAACAAGGATAGGTCTGCTAGCTTAATAGTTACCAGCAATAGTGCTGAGAGATGTGGTCTGGGACTCTCTGGAGTTGTCAATCTAACGGGGGAAGGCACACAAAACAGGCAATCAGGGTGAAGATGTACAGCTGCACAGGGTGTGCTCTGGCCAACTTCAGGGGACATTATTCCCATAGACTATGGTATAAATGGCCCCCCACTGTAAGGTGTGACCTGGCCAGCCGTAGATGGTGACCCTCAAGCAAAGCTTTCTAAAGTGAGCTAAGTAATCCCGCTCCTGAGCATTCACATCCATACAAAACTCTAATTCAAAAACGTACACGCACGCCACGTTCATAGCAGCACTATTGACAATAGTCAGGACATGGAAACAGCCTAAAAGTCCATCAACAGATGAATTGATACAGAAGATGTGGTACATATATACAATGCAATACTACTCAGCCATAAAAAAGGAACGAAATCATGCCATTTGCAGCAACACGGATGGACCTAGAGATGATCATGGTAAATGAAGTAAGTCAGAAAGAGAAAGACAAATACCATATGATGTCACTTATATGTGGAATCTAAAATATGACACGAATGAACCTATCTACGAAACAGAAACAGACTCACAGACATAGAGCACAGACTGGTGGTTGCCAAGGGAGAGGGGGCTGGGGGAGGGATGGAGTGGGAGTTTGGGATGAGCAGATGCGAACTAGTATACATAGAACGGATAAACAACAGGTCCTACTGTAGAGCACAGGGAACTATAGTCAACATCCTGTGATAAACCATCATGGAAAAGAAAAATAAAATGAATAAAAAATAAAGTGATCTAAGTGAACAGTGATAGGGGACATGTTGTGCACCTGACCCAGCCGAGGAAGTGGGTTCTTGGGGTAAAGGACATTACCGTTGGGACTTAAAGATCAGCCCCAGTTAGCCAGACCGGAAGGAAGATGAGCTGTCCAGGCGAGGGAGCAGAATGTCCAAAGACCGAGGACAGGGGCTGTGAGGCTGAGCTGCCCGAGGAATGAGCAGGAGGGGCACCGTGGCTACTTCGTCCTGCTGGCTGTCTGGAAGCCTTCATGCTCTACCTTTCCAAATCCAGATCAGCTGCACCCAAACTTGATGGATTCCAGAAAAATAAAAAGGGAGGAACTCCTCACCTCCCACCTCTGTTTTCTGACTGTCTCAGCAGCATTTGTCCCCTACAGTGCGGGTGATTCAAAAGCTTAGACTAAACGCAACACTCGGGGAAGATCCCCTGCCTTCAGACAGATGGGGCCCCGAGGCTGGCTCCGTTCCCGCCACCTGTTCAACTTCATCAATTGTCAAGCCTTTTGACTCAGACAAACTCCTTCAACCTGATGGTGACACTCCACTGCTTAAAGTCTCCTATTTTAAGGCTGTGGGCATTTAAAAACAAAATGAAACATAAAAACATTTTGAGGGATAAAGTTCCAAATTCTTAGCATGGCTTACATGGTAGAGTCATCTCACATGGGGCAGGGACCCTTTCTATCTGGTCCTCTCTACTGTGCTCTGTCATTGGATCGAAAGCAGCTTGGGGGACAGTGGCCTTGGTGCGAATGTGGTGGTGAGTCTGGAAGAGAAGCAGCTGGGTCCCCGCACACCAGACGATCCAAGCAGTACTTTTCCACGGCTGCCGTTGCCGGGAACACGGCAGAGTCTCTATACATATTTGTTCTAAATAAATAAATGAATGAATAGAACATTTAGGATAAGTTACATACTCAAGCCACATAATTTTTATTTTCCCATCACGTTTCTCTTCCTGAATTGGGTGATGGTATTTCGACTTCATCTCCTTGACAGTTGATATAAGAAACATCTTCACAAAACTCATTGAGAAAACCATAATTCAGAAAGAGACATGTACCCCAATGTTCACTGCAGCTCTATTTACAATAGCCAGGACACGGAAGCAACCTAAGCGTCCATCGACAGATGAATGGATAAAGAAGATGTGGCACAGATATACAGTGGAATATTACTCAGCCATAAAAAGAAACAACACTGAGTTATTTACAGCGAGGTGGATAGACCTAGAGCCTGTCATACAGAGTGAAGTAAGCCTTTTGAACTTTTAAAGGCCACCGGGACACATCATGTATTACTCGGTGTCTTCTTTATGAAAAAACAGGAAAAAATTCTTTCTCACTCCGTAGCATGAAGAGTTGTGTTTTACGTGGCTAATTCAATGGTATATTTAAGTAATTAATTAAGTACAATAATTAAGTGATTGACAATGTGATCAGAGTTCTCTTTTTTTTTTTTTGCTGTATGTGGGCCTCTCACTGCTGTGGCCTCTCCCGTTGCGGAGCACAGGCTCCGGACGCGCAGGCTCAGCAGCCATGGCTCACGGGCCCAGCCGCCCCGCGGCACGTGGCATCTTCCCAGACCAGGGCACGAACCTGTGTCCCCTGCATCAGCAGGCGGACTCTCAACCACTGTGCCACCAGAGAAGCCCCAGAGTTCTCTTTTTTTGTATGCGTACCTGAAAGCTTGGAACCAAGTTGTGGCCCATCTTTGGCCAATGTATAGGGACTCCTACAAATGGTTTTTGTGTATTATTTCGACAAATACTGATTTTGGACCAAAACTTACTCATGGGTTAATCTTACTTTTCTTACCCTAATTCTCTTGTCCCCTGCTCACAACTTATTTTCTCTTCCAGTATAATATACATTTTAATAGATCACTTTATAGTTTTGAAGTATGGTGGAGTATATATAAATTGGTTGTTGTTTAAGGCTAAGGATGGTAACCTTGAGCTATGAGTGAACACCAGCCTGGAGCCTCACATCCCCAAACATTCCTCTTCGCCTCTGCCCTGATGCTCACACTGTTTTCTTCTTGATCTTCCAGGAGAGTCTTTTGTTTTTTTTTAATTGAAGTCTAGTTGATTTACAATGTTGTGTTAATTTCTGCTGTACAGCAAAGTGATTCATTTATACACATGTATATATATCCTTTTTCATATTCTTTTCCATGATGGTTTATCACAGGACATTGAATATAGTTCCCTGTGCTATACAGTAGGACCTTGTTGCTTATCCATCCTATATATAATAGTTTGCATCTGCTAACCTCAAACTCTCAGCCCTTCCCTCCCCTTTGGCAACCACAAGTATGTTCTCTATGTCTATGAGTCTGTTTTTGTTTCATAGAAAAGTTCCTTAGTGTCATACTTTAGATTCCATGTATAAGTGATATCATATGATTTTCGTCTTTCCCTGTGTGGCTTACTTCACTTAGGAAGATAATCTCTAGTTGCATCCATATTGCTGCACATGGGATTATTTCATCCTTTTTCATGGCTGAGTAGTCTTCCATGGCATGTATCTACCACATCTTCTTTATCCATTCATCTGTCCATGGACATTTACGTTGTTTCCATGTCTTGGCTATTGTAAATAGTGCTGCTATGAACATAGGGGTACATGTATCTACCACATCTTCTTTATCCATTCCATCTGCTGGTGGGCATTTAGGTTGCTTCCATGTCCTGGCTATTGTTCCACTGGAGTCTTTACCACATTTTATTGCAAAGATGTGCTTGGGGGCCTCGCCTGCCCTGAAGCAGAGCATTTTGATTCATCCCTACTACTGTAGCCTGAAAGTAAACTCACTGTTAATTACCAAGGATCATGGTCAACCAAGCCCCCTCTCTTATTTCTTCTCCAACACCCGCCATTGCTAATTGTGGGAAACTTTCACTTTCTACTTTATTCATTCCCATCGGCTTGTAATTTGTATGGGTACACTCTCTTTATCATCAGAGGGAAAAAAGAATAAAGATGTAGGAACATCTATATCTGGGTTAACCCCTCAAATGTTTTAGTCTTGTCTTCCCAACCCTCATCATAGTGGAGTTTTAGAATTTTAACCAAGACATGTGCACACGACAGGGAGTACCAAAAGGACAGTTAGAAATTTATTTAAGTTTGGATTTGAGAATAGAAGATCCTACTGTGGACAAGTCATTCCCTCCCTCTGATGTCCTGTGTGTACTTAATAAGGACAATCAAATCAGAAAGGATACCAAAAAAAGCAGGAGTGTCCATATCAAGAATGGAATGGCTTCCATTACTAATCAGCTAAATCTGTTTATTACTAGGAAGCAAATGCATTTGACCACTGCAGCTTTAAGGGGGAATCAGAGAATCTGATACGTGGACCGTTCCATGTTCATGTGAAACCGAGAGAGTGAGCACACCTCTTATTGAGAGTGATTGACGGCCCCTGCTGTGATGAGCAAGTGTGGAAAACACATGCTGCCTGGTTTTATGCATTTTGGCTGCCAGATGGTGCCTAACACCCCCCCACCCCGGAACCGTCCCTCACCCCACCCATGCCAATCCGGCCTTACCCCAAACCCTCATCCTTCCCAGGCCCCGAAATCCATCCCCCACCAGAAGCAGGGGCTGGGGGGCACTGATGTGTGAGGCCCAGGTATAAAATACAGATATCTCTTTTGCATAGTATTAGGTAAAATAAAAAGCTTAAAGTGGAAGAGTTTATTTTCTAGGACATATGTTGACAGCATCTGAATGTCATGTACCTTTTCTCTCCTACGAGAAGCTTGTATTTCTGTCTTCATCGCCAAGGCAGTTCCCGGAGCGTAGTTCGTGGAACATTTACGTAATTCATGTCTGTTCGATGAATGAGCGAACGAATAAATAAGTGAATACATGATCAACCCATATAATAACCCAACAAAGAAGGAAATGAGGGGAATCTGGCATAATATGGTGTCTGTAAACCCAAGCTTTCTCCCAGCGTTCTCATCTACGCAATAGGCTGTCGTAGAATTTGTTGGAGACCCACATCAGTCTTCTCATTTCGTTATCTCTGAACTGTACCATTTTCGCCCCTTGGAGAGCTGGGACCCCACTTCTCTTTTCCAAAAGATACCCGCGATGGAATTGTGATCACATTGGCAATCACTTTTCATTACCCAGATTATAATTCACCCGGTTTTATAGGCGCATCTCTCTTCAGGCTACATAGTCTTTTATCGGGCATCAAATCCTCTTTTTTAAAATATATAAAGATACATATTCTTAGTACGAAAGTCCTGTAACCACCTTACCAAAAAAAGTCTCAAAAGTAGGAATGAAGGGAGGAAAAAAAATCACCGTAAGACTAACCCTCTAATACAGCCACTTATTAGGATTTCGGTAAATTTCCTTCTGCTACTTTCCCCCATTCCCCATCTGCTTTTACATAGCTTCATACGTTGTTTCTGTATACGTATAATTTGATTTCCTAATTTTCTGAACTAGTCAGGAAACTAGAAACAACACTATTTAGCAGAGAGAATTTAATATAAGAAATTGGTTAAACAGGTATTGGAGAACTCCAAATGTATAAGGCAGACCCTGAAATAAGAAAGGAATAATAAGTGCAGGAAGCAGCTTCCGTAACCAGGGGCTGGAGGAACAAAGGGAAGAAGTGGGTGTCATCAGACCTAGAGGCTTGGGGGAGGGGCTGCAGAACTGGGACCTCCTGGAGGGGACAGCAGCAGGGCCAGGGCTGAAAGCTCTGAGGGGAGGGGTGATGGGGCTGCTGCTGGGTGTGGGGAAAGGGCCAGAGACTGGGACCAGCTGCTGGTGGACTCAACGGCCAGCGTCCAGGTCCAGAGGGAGGGGCCCTGGTGCGTAACTGGCAAGCCAGGAAGCACGCAGGAAGGGGCCTGCTCCTTCCCCCGACCCCTGCCTCCGATCTCCCTCTAGTGCCCCCTGTTGGTGGAGCCTAATCGGGAGGCATCCAGCAGAGCAGAAACTGAGCGTGCTGAGTTCCAGCTCCAGCAGCACAAAGCCGTGGGGGTTCCAAGATGGGGGCCAATGGCTTCACAACCAAGCCGTACCTTAAGCTTAGCTTGGGGTGTTACTACGCTGCCTGCATTTTTGGTTGTTGTTGTTTTGGGGGTTTTTTGGTTTTGTTTTAATTGAAACATAGTTGACTTACAATGTTGTGTTAATTTCTGCTGTACAGCAAAGTGATCCAGTTATACAAATATGTTCATTCTTCTCCCTTTTTTTTTTTTTTTTTTGCAGTATGCAGGCCTCTCACTGTTGTGGCCTCTCCCGTTGCGGAGCACAGGCTCCGGACGCACAGGCTCAGCGGCCATGGCTCATGGGCCCAGCCACTCCGCGGCATGTGGGATCTTCCCGGACCGGGGCACGAACCCGTGTCCCCTGCATCGGCAGGCGGACTCTCAACCACTGCGCCACCAGGGAAGCCCATTCTTCTCCTTTTTTTAAAAAAGAATATTTATTTATTTATTTGGTTGTGCTGGGTCTTAGTTGTGGCTCGCAGGTTCCTTAGTTGTGGCAGGTGGGCTCCTTAGTTGTGGCAGGTGGGCTCCTTAGTTGTGGCATGCACATGGGATCTTGTTCCCTGACCAGGGATCGAACCCAGGACCCCTGCATTGGGAGTATGGATTCTTAACCACTGCGCCACCAGGGAAGTCCCATGTACATTCTTTTCCATATGCATTTCCATTATGGTTTATCACAGAACACTGAATATAGTTCCCTGTGCTATACAGTAGGACCTTGTTGTTTATCCATTCTCTCTATATAATCGTTTGCATCTGCTAATCCCAAACTCCCAGTCCATCCCTCTCCCATCCCCATCCCCCTTGGCAACTGCAAGTCTGTTCTCTGTGTCTATGAGTCTGTTTCTCTTTCATAGATAAGTTCATTTGTGTCATATGTTAGATTCCACATATAATTGATAGTGTATGGTATTTGCCTTTCTCTTTCTGACTTACTTCACTTAGTATGATAATATCTAGGTCCATCCATGTGGCTGCAAATGGCATTATTTCATTCCTTTTTATGGCTGAGTAGTATTCCATTGTATATATGTACCACATCTTCTTTATCCATTCATCTGTCGATGGACATCTAGGTTGTTTCCATATCCTGGCTATTTTAAATAGTGTTGCAGTGAACATTGGGGTGCCTGTAAATTTTTGAATTAGAGTTTTGTCCAGATTTATGCCCGGGAGTGGGACTGCTGCATCATATGGCAACTCTATTTTTATTTTTTGAGGAATCCCCATAGTGTTCTCCATAGTCGCTGTACCGATTTGCATTCCCACCAGCAATGTAGGAGGGTTCCCTTTTCTCCACACCCTCTCCGGCATTTGTTATTTGTAGACTTTGTAATGATGGTCATTCTGACCGGTGTGAGGTGATACCTCATTGTGGTTTTGATTTGCATTTCTCTAAAAATTAGTGATGTTGAGCATCTTTTCATGTGCCTGTTGACCATCTGTATATCTTCTTTGGAGAAATGTCCATTTAGGTCTTCTGAACCAGAAGATGTTGTATATAAATGCAGACACACTGTATGTCCATACACATAACACCTACAAGTTGTGCACGCATTTCTACACGTATATTCACAAACTATTCCTTGGAGGGCTGGATTCTGCTAACACATGAGCATTTCTACTTCCTTTAATTAACTTTAAGAGGACAGATTTCTTGTAGCACCTTGTTCTATTAAATCCAGGCAATCTCTTCTTGGTTCCCAAATTTATGATCTCTAATTTCAGCACACCTCATATTTATCAAAACCACGAGAATGAGGGCCCAGATTTCACGGTGACTTAATGGTTGTTGTCAAGAGATTTTCTTTGTTTTGTCCTCGGGCCAGGCAAGGTCGATGGAAGTCCGCCGAGCGCTTTTCTTTTTTCTTGAAGGGGATGGAAGGAAGCAGAGAAGACCAGCCACAGACCTTCCTCAGCGTGAGAGGAGTGACAGCGTGTGGGGTGTGCAGCTGTCGCTCGCTATTTTACGGTCCTTCCCAATTTACGTGCTAGTCCACAGCTGAGCCCGGGAGAAGGAAGAGGGGCCGACTCTGTGGCCGGCATCGGGTTTCAGAGCTGATGACTTTATGCCTTAAAGATAAATAAGTAGAAGCAATGTTTAAAGCCAGTTCTGAGGGACGGTCACAATTCTGCAAATATGGCGTCGATAGGAAAGAAGGGTCGTGGAAGAAAATAGAAGTAAATTCACAGGCACGCCCCTCAGAGGCCTGGAAGGAGCGGCAGATGCCCTAGAGCAGGGCTCTGGGAGGCGGGTGGGAGAGCAGAGGGGCAAAGCGGGGGTGACGCAGATCTAGGAGGGAGCCCGACTGTGCCCCTCTGTTGACAGAAAGGACGCGTTCTAGTGACACGCCAGGTTGTCAGAAACATGGGCATCGGAAGTAAGAAAAGATACAAGGAACTTAAGAACGTCCTTTGGGATGAGAGCAAAGAGGATTATTTAGAAAAAACTTCTCGAATGCTCTGGAAACATAATCGAACGAGTTAAGTTGTGTAGCGTGTTTGGATAGTGAATACAATGCGTTTGCCGTTTTATTCTCAGCAGCAGCACGTGGGCCGTATGAGGAAGGGGACCGTTCAGAGGGAGGGCAGGAGGCAAAGCATGGAGCACGAGTGTGTCTGAGGTTTCGGGGCCGGGGTGGAACGGCGTGCTCCAGGCCACAGGGCACGTCCATAAGAACATGGGCCAAATACGTGCAGGCACTGGAAATAGGTTTGGCAGGGGCCCGGGCAGCCCTGAGCTGCTTCTCCTCCCAGACTCTGGAAGAAGTGGATCAGAGCCTCCCAACCTTTGCAGAGCACTCACTCCGGTGGTCCTAAAAGGATAACCAACCCCCCTGCAGCACACCTGGCCTTAGGCAGCCTCACCCCCTCTGTCACCCAGCCCTCTCCCTCCTGCCTCCCATCCTTTTAATTTGGGACCCAAAACAGTAACCGGCACACAGACCTAGAGAACAGACCTGTGGTCGCCAAGGGGGAGGGGGGACGGACTGGGATTGTGGGATGAGCAGAGGCAAACTATCATATAGAGAGAGAATGGATAAAGAGCAAGGTCCTACTGCAGACCACAGGGAACTATAGTCAGTATCCTGTAGTAAAGCATAACGGAAAAGAATATATGTGTATATAACTGAGTCACTTTGCTGTACAGCAGAAATTAACACAATGTTGTAAATCAGCTATACTTTCAATGAAAAACTAAATTAAAAAAATAATTTGGGACCTAAACTTTTGTTTCACACCTGAAGATAAAACATATGAATATAAAGTATATTAAATGTAAATATTTTACATTTATATGTTTTATAAATTAAAAATATAAATTACATCTGTATTGAAATATAGATCCTGAGAGCAGGGCCTAAAACTTACATTCCCTGGGTGTAACTAATCCATCAGCAGCTGTAACCCATTCTCATTAGAACCTCAGCAGAGTGGTCAAAAGCCTGGGCTTTGGTGTCAAACAGACTTGGATTTAACTCCAGATCTGCCCATTGCCGGTGACCTTGTGCACGTTGCTTCACCGTTATGAGCCTCAGTTTCCTCATCCGTAAAACGGGAATAATGACACCATTTACCGTGGGGATCGTTGCAAGGATCCTACCACGTATTACGAGTAAAGGAGTTAGTACAACCTACGACTCCATACGTGGGCATAGCTGTTGCTGCTACTGTTCATAAGGTGAGTGGTTTAGAAAGCAGGACGCTGCTGGCCACAGAGCGGATCAAGGGGTGAAGACAAGAATAAAGATCCTGGATGGGCGGGAGGTTCGCATGTGCAACTTCCGCCTCGTACGACAGCACCCTGTGAACATAGAGAACTTCGGTCGTTCAGCTACGTGATGCCCACCACTGTGGCTCACGTAACTTATGCTCTCACTGTTGTTCGCGTAATGTCATTTTAAGGGAGTTTTGTCCCCAGAGGCATCCTTCATTGATGTATGGAAGCCTGGAGAAGGGAAGGGGCTGGAGATTAAGTTTTGAGCCTGTTTACTTCAATCTCAAACTTCCAAAGGTCTGTGTGAAGTCTCTGAAGAAATGAGAATTCCCTCCCAACCCAGATTATTAAATAGTATAAATACTGCCCCTCAGAATACCTTAAGCAAAGTCATTTGCAAAGGCCTTTAAACTGGAAGGCCCATCCCCACCTCCTACTGTTGGCTCTGATCCAAAAGGCGCCCGGCACCCTCCCCGTGCTCCCAGGCTGCATCCTGAAATATTTGCCTCGGTCCATCTCGCTGGCCACTTCCCTTCCCCACCTGGTCCTGACTGTTTCCTGCTCCTCTGACCTGTGGTCTGATACTGCTGCCGTCAGGCTGACCTCTGGCTTCCTTCCTTAGCTGCACTGTTCACTGGTCCCTTTGTCACAGTGCCTCATGGCTGCTCGGGCCCGGGGTCCAGCCTCTCCCTGGTGCCAGTTCTCAAGCCAGAGTGCCTGCCGTCCAGGTCCACTCTGCTTCTGGGAGTGGACACTAGACCCACGTCACCTTTGTATGAAAGAATTTCGGAGCCACTTTAAAGAACTGGCTGACATTCAGGCTTTAGAATTTGGTCAGCAGTGAAACATCACTGTGGATCGTGTAGCTGGAAAGGCCGTGTGTATATGAGGATTGACCCTCTAGGTGTGGGTGTTGGGAGCACCAGACCTCACCCATCTATAATTTTTACAAAAATTTTTGACGTACAGTTGATGTACAATGTGTTCATATCTGCTGTACAGAAAAGTGATTCAGTTATACACATATATACATTCTTTTTTCATATTCTTTTCCATTATGGTTTATCACAGGATATTGAATATAGTTCCCTGTGCTCTACAGTAGGACCTTGTTGTTTATCCATTCTCTATATAATAGTTTGCCTCTGCTAATCCCAAACTCCTAATCCATCCCTCCCCCACCCCTCCCCCTTGGCAACCACAAGTCTGTTCTCTATGTCTGTGAGTCTGTTTCTGTTTCATAGATAAGTCCATTGTGTCATATTTTATTTATTTATTTATTTTTTGCGGTATGCAGGCCTCTCACCGTCCCAGCCTCTCCCGTTGCGGAGCACAGGCTCCGGACGCGCAGGCTCAGCGGCCATGGCTCACGGGCCCAGCCGCTCCGCGGCACGTGGGATCTTCCCGGACCGGGGCACGA